GTGATAACGTCCATAGACTGTCTTCCTTAAGAAGAGAACGGAAGTGCTACAATGGCATGTGAAGAGGTACAGAGAAACACGCTACTCTTCCGCTCCACTTCAGCTTTCTTTTCTCATGCAGTAAGGCTCTGATTTATTCGACTGGAGTCTACATCACTGCCTCACATTGATGGTTGGAACAGCTCTTTGAATGGGTTTGAGCTGCTGTGTGTAGCCACTATTTTAAATTCCTACAGTGTTTTTGAACAAAATAGGCTGGCTAAGCCAGGCTGGAGTGCTGAGATAGAAGAAAATAAAAGCCCACTACCTGAAGGTGAGTGTAACTGGTGGGCTCTGCTGGGGCATTGGGATACCTTAGGATGCCAACTCCTGATGCACTAGATTTTCATTCTGTTTTATTCCCTGCTTCTATTTTATATATATATAAAATATGTGCAAAGGTAGTCTGAGTTCTCTGTGAGCAAGACCAGCAATTCTGCAACCTGCATAAATGATAGGAATTAAGCCAATTTGCAAGTGCGTGTCTTGTTAAACAAATGGAGCAGTTCAGCACGATACGCATGCAGAGAGAGGAAGAGTTGAACAAGAGGATTGGGGTAGCATCCTTGGATACAGTTGCCAGGTTCTCTTGGAGACAGGTTGAGATCCTGTTTGTTCTGCAGGTGTACGTACCTATTTACGCTGCAGGGCCAGGAGAGTAAGAAGCCAGGAAATGGCAAAGGGCCCAGACAGACAGACTGGAAAAACCAGAAATCCCTAGTTTTGTTTGTGTACCTTCTGTGTTTTTTTGGGGTGGGTGGGTAGGAGGAATCTATATGATGTTTTCCCCATTTTGCAGCATGCCCAGGGAACTTTCAGCATATACAAGGCCATTTATTCCCACTTCCCAGGTCAGTTTGAACTAAACCAATATTTCCCAAAATGAAATGTCCCTCTCCATGGCAGTGTGTTACTGTTATCCTTGAGCTAACTATGGGGGGATGCAGATGGGTGGCCATGGGTTGCCCTGGGAAGCGGAGGATAGGGGCTGAGGCTGCCCCACGCCTCGGCCCCAATCCTCCCTTTTGGTGCCTGGGAAAAGAACGCCAAAATAGCACTCCTTTCCCAGGCGGGGAAAAGGGCGCCCAAAGAGCCACCATGCGGCTCTTTTGTGCCTCTTCCAGCGCAGCGTGTCCGGACGCTGTGGCGGGAGGACGTCTTCAGAGCACTCGCCGTGTGCAACGGCGCACGCTCTGATAATGTCCTTGGGAAGGGGTTGGGGCGCCCGGCATGTGCCTGACCCTCTCCTTCCCTGGCTTCAAGATGGGGCTTTGCGCTGTCTGCAGAGCCCCTAAGTCTAAGATGTCTACTACCAAGCGGTGTCAAACTGCATTGATTCTGCAATGCAGATGCAGCCTGTGTTATACTGGAACTAGCTATGGCCACCACTGAGAAACATAGCAACTGTTCCCAGGACATCAGATTTACTAGCGACCAAGTGGTTGAATGAGGAATGCTAGCTATAAAAGTATCTCAAAACCTAACTAGTGTAATAAGAGGTTGAGTCTCCATTATCTGGAATTCTGAAATACTCCAAAATCCAAAATAGTCTCCATAGGTGCTGGGACAGTGACACCTTTGCTTTCTGGTAGTTCAGTGTACACAAACTTTGCTTCATGCACAAAATTATTTTAAAATGTGGTGTATAATATTATCTTAAGGCTATGTTTATAAATTGTATATGAATAATAAATGAATTTCATGTATAGACTTGGGTCCTGTCTTCAAGATCGCTCATAATGTAGGGACAAATATTCAAAGATCCAAAATCCAAAACACTTTTGCTCCCAAGCATTTCGGACAAGAGAGCCTCAACCTGTATTGCTAAAGCACTTTAACACTTTGACTATAACACCTGAATAATCATTAAAATGGGGTCAATGGAAATGGGCGATGGTCAATTTCTAAAATGTTGCTGGAGTTTAGATGTGGCCCATGATCCGTGGGAAGGAGAGGAAGAAGGATGGAAGGGAAGGGGAGGGAGAGAAACCCAGGATATTTCAAGAAAGAGTGGATGCCATGAATGTACACGTAAAATTAAAACAAAAAACACCTGGAAAGTCTTGATACTTCTACGTAGTTCCTCCTGTCTGGATAAGCCCAAAGGGGAGTTATCTTGGTACATTCACCAGGGAATGCAGTTGGATCAGGGCTGAACTAAGGTGCTATTTGGCAAGTTGGTGCCCAACCTTGGGAAAATGCATTGTGCAAGGAGGTACTGGACACCTCCTTACGCAATGCCTCAGGAAATACTTCCATTGGTGTAAACCTCTGTTAGTCCAGTGTAAGTCATCAAGAAGATACCAACTTTCGATTTTGGGCGGCTTGATGTTGGAAGGTAGAACCTGAAAGGGTCACCAGGTGAGTCATGTCTCTCCAAAATAATTAAGGGTGGAGGGTATATCTCAGTGAACCAAGTCAATTCCTGTGCATTCCTTCTTTAACAGACAATTTGGTACCAGAGGCAGAAATCAGAAATTAGTCTTCTCTGTTAGAGGGAGCTGGTGCCACAATAAACTACAATTCCCAGGATTCCCTAGCACTGAGCCAGGGCAGTTAAAGCGGTCTCAAACTGGATTATTTCTGCAGTGTGTTTTGGACCTGTGTCATGGTGATCCCATCCTACAGTTTTCTTGACAAGTGTTATTCAGAGGAGGTTTTAGTTACTTTCCTAAGTTACTTTTAAAAGGCACTGAGGTATGCTGTCAGGGATTCTTTGACCACTCTTAAGGTTTTAATAAAAAGTAACAAAATGTAATGAATTAATTCTTTTAAGAAAACAGGGATAAAGTACTTTTCAAACAATACAACGAAGAATGGAGACATATTGGAGACAGAGTTTTAAAAAGTAACTTGCAGTGTCCATTACTTTGATGAAGCAGCAGTGGCAATAACAGGAGTGGAGATTACCCAGATTAACAAGAATTAATAATAATTAAACATTAATAATAATATCTATAAAGATTCTGCCTTTTCTCAATTCCTGGGGAACTGAACCCAAAATTTGACAACGTACAAAAATGAAAAACATAGAGAGAAAAAACTGACATTCCTAAAAATGTACAGAAGTGAACATTTAATGAACCTATCGGGACTCTGGAGACCAGGGTTCGATTCCCCGTTCGGCCAATGGAACCCACTGGGTGACCTTGGGCAAGTCACATGTTCTCAGCTTCAGGGGAAGGCAATGACAAACCTCCTCTGCCCAAATCGTGCCAAGGAAACCCAATGACAGGTTTGCCTTTGCATCACCATAAGTCAAGAATGACTTGAAGGCATACAACAAAGTAGTGAAGAAGGAGAGCCAGCATGGCATAATGGATTGCAAATCTAGAGACCAGGGTTCGATTCCCAGCTCGGCCATGGAACCCACTGGGTGACCTTGGGGGAGTTACATGCTCTCAGCCTCAGGGGAAGGCAATGGCAAACCTCCTCTGAGCAAATCTTGCCAAGAAAACCCTTGGAAATGACTTAAAAGGCCCACAACAGTGTGGATAGTTTTGAAATTCCACAGCGAACAGCAGAAAATATAATAATAATAATAATAATAATAATAATAATAATAATAATAAAATTTATTTATATACTGCCCAATGGTTGCCCAATCAGGGCGGTTGCGTCCGGGCCTAAGTTTCCCGACACGACCCGTGAAACATGCGCAGGAGGAAGGGTGGACCTGCTCAGGAACCCGGGCGTTACACAGTGGGATCCTGCGGGAACACAATCAGGAGATGTTTATCGCCATACACACACACGCAAAGTCAGGAAATGGATACCGTCACACCGCTAAAAAAGAAGGGAGGAGAAGGTTTGGGACTTTGGGAAGGAAACAGCAGCTGTCACAATTGCAGAGGGACTTCCTTTGGGGGCCTCCACTAGCCCAGAGTGGCAGACAGCTGCACTCCAAGGAGGATCTGAAAGCCGCACTTTGTTGATGCCGACCCTGGATTTCAGGTGTCAGAAGTGAGCACGAAATCGACAACCACAACCTCAGAGTTTGGCTGCTTGCAATGCCTTCCTGTCAACCAGCCAGTAGCTGTTTTTCTCCTTGCTTTGAGGCCTATATATGGAATTGGCTTTGAAAGCTGGACCGTATCCTTTGGGATGGAGCCAGTTGCCAGCATGGCCTAGTGGTTTGAGCGTTGGATTATGACTCTGGAGACCAGGGTTCGAATCCCGGCTCGGCCGTGGAAACCCAATGGATGACCTCCTAGGGCAAGTCACGCTCTCAAGGCAAAAGCAAACTGCCGCAGCCTCTCCTGGCTTCTCTGGTCTTCCGCATTAATAACTTTGGCCGTCTTGACCACACTGATGTTGCTTGGCCATCTGTCTTGGTTTTCATCTCTGAAAGGTTGGAAGGTATGCAATCTTCCCTTCTTGGCTTCCTCAGAAGTCCGCACTCCCTTCCCAATGACGCCATTGGCAATTTCCCATATTTTGCATGGGGTACCTCCTATTCAGGATTCAATTCCCAGCTCAGCTATGAAACCCACCGGGTGACCTTGGGCAAGTCACACTCTCTCAGCCTCAGAGGATGGCAGTGGCAAACCCCCTGTGAAGAAACTTGCCAAGAAAACCCCATGATAGGTTTTCCTTAGGGCTGCCATTGGTCGGAAATGATCCGAAGGCAAGCAACAATGACAACCAGGTTGCCTTGGACTTCCAAACTGGACCCTGCAATCTTACCACATTCTGCACTGACTTGTCTCTGGTGCAAAATGTTGTAGATCTTTTGCATTTTGCAATGTTGCTGCTGCGTGCCTCTAAGGGTGCCTCTATTGTTATTGCTGTTCAACTCATTTCCGACTTCTGGTGACCTTAAGGCAGGGTGATCAGATGTCCTCACTGCAAAGGAGGACAAGACACTAAATAATAATAATAATAATAATAATAATAATAATAATAATAATAATAATAATAAATTGCCTTGCAGATGTTTATTGGACGGCAAATCACAGGCTCATGGAGGATGTGACCAAAGAAAAGCTAAAAACACTCATAGAAACGTAAATGCATGCTTCCTTGTCATGCTCAAAATGAAGGACGTTTTGAAGTTCCTCCTGGACAGAAGTCTGGAATGTAGGACATGTCTTCAAAAAGGAGGGCATCTGGTCACCCTGCCCTAAGGCTCACCTATCATGGGGGTTTCTTGGTATGTTTCATCAGAGTGGGTTTGCCATTGCTGAGGTTGAGAGAGTGTGACTTGCCCAAGGTGGGTTTCCATGGCCAAGGCAGGATTTGAATCCTGGTCTCAAGTCATAGTCAATGCTCAAACCACAATGCCACGCTGATCTCCAAGAGTGCATCTGCACCATAGAAAATAATGCAGTTTGAAACCACTTTTAAGTGCTGGAGCTCCATCCTACAAACTACTGGGATTTGTAGTTTTACAAGGTCGTTTGCCTTCTCTCCCAAAGAATGCTGGTGCCGCATGAAACTATAAATCCTAAGATTCTGTAGGATGGATACGTGGCAGTTAAAGTGGTGCCAAACTGCATTATTTCTACACTGTAGATGTGCCCTAAGTCGATTTTGGGTTTTCCTTGCAAACCTTATTCAGAATAAGTTTCTCCTTGCCGTCTTTTGTATGTTTAGATATTTTCCCAAGTTTTAAAAGATCAGAAGCACACTGACTGGAATTTTCCAAGTCTGACGCCAATCCTGAGGCTGCATATTCAAAATGCTAAATATTGTTAATGTTTTGAATTGTCAGCCAGTTAGGAAAAAGATCCCACCCATTTCATTAAATTAATTACCAGCTATTATTGGTATTATTATTATTATTAGCTCACTTTCTTCTCAGTATTGGACTAAAAGTAGTTTAGAACTGTTAAAACAAATATACGGTAGCTAATAACTTCACACATACAAAAATTTAAAAAAAATTAAATTATCCTAAAATTGCAATTTGTTAAAAATATAAATCAATAACAATGAGTTAAAAAAAACCCTACAAGATACAAAAGTTATAAAGCAATTATATCCTATCCTAAAATTATAATCAGTTAAAGATAGAAACCATTAAAAACAAAAGAATTCATTAGGTTTAAATCATGGTCTTCTTGACTGTGACTCCTAGCATTCTTCACCACTGTCTACGGATTCTGTGATTTGCAGTCCAACAAACATCTGGAAGGCCATAATAATAATAATAATAATAATAATAATAATAATAATAATAATAATAATAATAATAATTGTATGCTGTTGTGTGCCTTTAAGTCATTTCTGCTTTCTGGGGAAGTTGACTATAAAGTTGCACTGGAGGACCTAGAGATTCCTAGAGAAGACATATTAATCGAAACTTCAAAGAATCAAATCCGCAAAGGTCAAAGCCGCCCTGATTGTGTTACACAAAGAGGCGGGATACAAATAAATTATTATTATTATTATTATTATTATTATTATTATTAGAGTTGTACAAATAAACCTAGAACAGTTTTCAAAGCGTGGATGCTTTAATCCGCGGATAAAGAATCTGTGGATATGGAGGGCCAACTGGAGATTTGAACCATAACTATGAAATAAGTAGTTATAGAAATAATTATATAACATGACTTAAAAATAATATTCCATTTAAAACATTATTTAAAAACAACCATAATGGTGTGTATAATGGGGTTTTGGTATCCATAGAGGTTACTGGAACCAACTTTTAATCATGGTCATAGACCAGTGCAGATGAAAAGGGGATACAGAATAAAAGAAGGTAAAAAGACAGGCTATTAAACAGTATTTAAAATGTTTTTTCAGTTTATACAGCTCCAGGATAGCAAGACAAGACTTTTCCTAGGCTACTGTTTGAACCAAACTCCAGCAGAAACCAAGGATCTACTGTATACAGCTAAAAGAAAAATTGCATTGCCCAAAAGTTAACCATGCATCTGAGGAAGTAGTAGTTATAAAAACAAAAACAACTGTAACACTCTTTAAAAAACAAAGTTAAAAAATGTTTCATCCATTCATCCAGCAACAACGTTTCATCCATTTAAAATTCCTCCAGAAAACAAATCTATCAAAACACATTAAACAAGAAACAAAATAACTTGCATTTTTACTCTGGCAAGTTAAGTGATTTGGACCCTTTGGGTCCCATCCTGGAAAAAAAATATAGATATCAAATAAATCAGTCGATCAAATAAAGTTTTCAGGCTCTGATGCCACTTCTGCCATATACTTTAAAAAAAGAAAGACACCTGGAATAACCATTTCATACCCTCCAGGTGTCCTAATATTCCTCTTCCATCCCACTTTTTCAGCTGCTTTTAAAAGGTCCTGGTTTCTCACTCCTCCTCCTCCTCCTTTCCCCCTTTAGTCTCCAATTGCTGCAAACTGAGTCCAAAGTGGAAAAGTAGGGTTGGCCCTCTCCACGTTTGCAGCTTTGACTTTGGCGGCTTTGATTCTTTGCACTTTCGATTAATATGTCCTCTCTAGGAATCTCTAGGTCCTCCAGCGCAACTCTGCCGGAAGTTGACCATAGAGTTGTGCTGGAGAACCTAGAGCAGTGATGGAGAACCTTTTAGATGCCAAGTGCTCATACTGGTGTTCCCGCACCAGGTGTTATCTGGTGCTGGGGGGCGGGACTTCCACCTTGTGGGGGTGGGACTTCCGCTTTCCGGAGGCGGCACTTTCCCGGAGACAGCTAAAGGCCCAGGAAGGCAGGAGGAAGAGGAGGAATAGATGTTCCTCCTCTTCCCCGTCTCCCAGTCTCTCCGCATGCTCTCAGAAATGGCTTCGCGTGCCAAAGAGGGCACGCGTGCCATAGATTCACCACCACTGACCTAGAACGTCCTAGAAAAAACACTTCTCTAGGCATTTGTAGGTCCTCCAGCATGAGTCTATGATCAACTTCTGGCAGATGTTGACCACAGAGTTGCATTGGAGGACCTGGAGATCCCTAGAGAGCCCTTCTCAGTTGGCTTAAGCAAAAGCAAACTGCTGCAGCCTCTCCTAGCTTCCCTGTTCTTCCTCACTTTTACCATTTTTCAACACAATGATGCTGCTTATTCCGATTTTCATTTGTGCAATGTTGGAGGGTATAAATAAATTAGAGAGCCAGTGTGGTGTAACGGTTTGAGGATTGGCCTATGACCCTGGAGACCAGGGTTCGAATTCCTGATCCTCCACGAAAACCCACTGGGAGATTCAAGTCACACTCTCTCAGCCTCAAGGGAAGGCAATGGCAAACTCCCTCTGAGCAAATCTGGCTAAGAAAACCTTTTGAAAGCCTTAGGGCTACCATAAGTTGGGAATGACTTGAAGACATGCCACAAGAATACAGAAATTAATCGTAACGTTTAATCTGTTAAGATTTTGTTAAGATTAAACCTTATTAGCCAACGTAAGTAACGTCTGAGATGTTTTACAGACGGGGTATAACGTAGTTATTGAATTTTATTGTTTTTCTTATCCTTCCGACCTGCCTAGGAAGATAGTATGTTTAGTTGTTTTAGTTGTCTGTATCGTATAATGTTTCCTGTATTTTTTTTCCTTTTTCTTTTTGAATTGTCTGTTTGTATGTGATTTGTATGTTTGGTGCGTTTTGTGTTTATGTTTATTTTATCTCAATAAAAGTTTTAAAAAAAAGAATACAGAAATTAAATAATATAAAATTTTGAGGCCCTAAAACTATTCATATATATGAAAAAAACTACTCTCTCTCTCTCTCTCTCTCTCTATATATATATATACATATATTACCACATATATATATATGTGTGTGTGTGTATACACATATATATGGTAGTATACCATATATACTTTTGCAATGTAGTTTTTTAAAAAATAAGATGGAATAACTGTTTTAAATCAAATAAAGCATGCAGAAATGTCCATCCCGTACCACCCGAGTTGAGAACAGGCCCATCTTGACAAAATGCAGGCTTGGGACGTAACATCGGCACAATAATTTATTTTCTCCTGTCAGATTTTCAACACCTTTGTCTGACGAAGAATCCAGCGTAGCTTCGAAAGCTTGCAACGTCCACTTTGTGCAATAAAGATATCCCTGTTTTGTGGATTTTGGATGTTATCGTACGTTGCGCCATAGCCAACGCAGCTGCCCCTGGACATAACAACTCCAGAGTGATTGCAAAAAGTGTGGCACCTGATGGGTTAAACTTTTGCTTGCTCCCTGATTTATTTATTTATTTCGGTTTAAATGAGAGACACAGCTGTTCCCAGAAAGG